CCTAGTTTCCCGTTGCCTAGAATCTGGGAGATGAATTTATTAATGATCTCTTGTTTCTTATCTGGGCATTTTGTAGGGAGTGGAGTTTCGTGTATGTTCTGTTCCATTGTGCTTGTAATTCGGTTTCGACTGTCTGTTTAATGGCTATGAGGGGCTTTTCAAGGGTATTACTAGAAACCTTGAAGGTTGCTGTGCATCTCCTTTTCCAGATAGCCCAGAGGGTCAATTTCTTGACGAGTGAGAAGAAAAGACGCTCAAAACCTTTGAGGGGTGGGTTTTGATCTACCTCTAGGAATAGGGTGCCAGGGTTGATCGCGATGGTTTTAATGGAGTGTTTGTTCCAGGTTAATTCTATATCGTGCTAGAGTTGCTTTGTCTTTGGGCAATCTATGAAGCAATGATTACGTGATTCTTCGAGTCGGGTGTTGCACACCCTCCACCATGATGTTTGCTCAGTGTCATTATCTTCCTTTCTTCTTTGCAATAGCCAAAGATTGACGGGTACTGCACAAAATGTTATGAGCCATAGCAGACTAGCTAGTTTGGGTGGACTTGTGCCAAAGATAGAGGTCCATGATGGGTTGATGTTGACCGCTGTGGTGGTATTTTCCTCCTTTTCCCATCTTTTTTGTATGATTGTGTGTATGGAGGGGGGTTTGTTATGGAGCTTGTAGCCTAACTTGGGTGTGTAGTCAGTGATTGCATAGCGGTGCTCTCTTGTGGAATGCGGGCTGGTTCTAGTCCAAGACCATTCAGCTGGATCTATTTCAAGGTGTTTTATTTTTGTCAGTAGACTCTGTTTCTGTCCCCTTCTATGACTCGGATTCTTCTAAGGTTGGCTGAAATGAAGGCCTCTTCCGCCCTTGGTTCTTTGCTGATGAAACTAGTTGGGTTTCCTGATTCCTGTAGGGGGTGGATGGAACAGAGTATCCAGTTCTTATTCTGTAGGTTGTTGTTTGTGACTCTTAAGTATTTCTGTGGGTTGTATTTGTTCTCTGTTCGATGCCCAATCTCCCCACATCCACTTTTGACTAGTCTTCAAAAACTGGCACCATTCTAGAGGTATGCATTTGATGATGTGAGTGATGTTGGCCTGCAAATTGTGGCACCCTTTTAGTAAGTTCCGCAGATCCTTTGCTGTCTTCCAGTTGTTTGTTGGTTCGTTCCAGAGATGTTGCACTTGCCATACACCTTTCTCTATCCAATGTCCCCATTTGATGTTTGTTTTGGTTAGAGAGAAGTTGAGGCCATTTTCGTCTTTGATCCATGGATTGCCGAAAAGTGGCTGTCTGAGAACTTCGTCTCCTTTCTGTGGGCCGATTTTATTCTGTGGGAAGATCTTTCTCCATATGCGGATGAGTTGTTCTCAGAATGATTTTGTGTTTCCTTTCTTTGTTTCCTCGTCCGTGTTGGGAGGGGGGTTGTTGTTGGTCTTTTCTCTTGGCAAGGGTCATGACTTGTTATAGATCCGAAAAAGGCCTGACATGTTGGGGGGGATTTATAAGGTGCCGAGTCCTTGATGTGACTTAGGGCTAGTGGTACCCATTGTAGGTTATTTTGCAAGTTGAGTCTGATTATCCATTTAGTCTGGCGGGCCTCAATCTGTCGAGCCGGGTCTATAATTCCTAGTCCTCCTCTGTCTTTGGATTGCGTGACGATTTGCCATGCGACCTTGTGAATGAAATGTTGTTTATCCAGGTTGCCTGTCCATAGGTGGGCCGCTGCCCTGTGACGGATTTGTTTTTGGAGGTCTAAGGTGGGGCACCATATCGATGTAGAGTACCACATCGTTGATAAGATTGAGTTATTCAGGGCTAAGGCTCTTCCGAGAAGTGATGTGTGAACTCCTTGCCAGCTGTGCATTTTGTTGATCAGTGATGACATTAGGGATGCGGCCGACGAGGGGTGGCACCCTTTGGCGCAAAGGTTTGTGCCTAGGAAGCGGATTGGTGTGGTTGGGTCTGTCCATTGTAACCCTTCTGGGGATAGTTCTATGGGAGGGGGTGAGTCCGCTAGCCACCAACCGACAGTCTTTGTCCAATTCACTTTCATCTCTGATGCTAATTGAAAGGCTTGCATAGTTCTTGTGAGGGCTTGGAATGAGGAAGTTGAAGCTCTTATAAGGACCGCTGTGAAGAGTAGGGTAGATGGAAGGTGGAGTGTGTGGCCTCTACTGTCCTTGATACTATCTAGTCTTTCTATGGATTTGTCCTTTCTGAGGAAAGCCGTGATTGCTTCCATAACAAAGAGGAAAATGGGGGCTGCAAGTGAGTCTCCCTGTGCTACATGTTGCACCTGCACATGGGCCCCATTTGAGGGGCCCGACGGTTGCTGAGGGGCCCCCAGGCAGCCTACCACCCAGCACGCGCCCTGGAGGTCCACGGCGGCCCTCCAGGCCCGAGGCAGCACACTAGGTAGATAGGTTTATTTTACTTACCTTTTTTGTGTTTGTGTGCTGTCTTATTTTTGTCTGTTCAGGTGCCGTTTCGGACTGGCAGCCCCAAGGCCGGACTGTGGGACTGGGTACACCGGAGGCAGGCCCGAAACGAGGCCAGGCGCATTTTGGCGCCAAACCGGTAGGTACAGGCGTCGTTTCGGCCCTGCAAGACCCAAGATGACACCTTGGGCCAGGTGCACCGGTGGGAGGCCGTTTTTAGGCCAGGCGCATTTCTACGCCATGCTGCATCAGTAGCAGGGTTTGGATGTCCGGTAGGGACCCAAACCACCTGGGCCGTTTTCTGAGGCCAGCACCAGGTAGGCCCAGCCGCCCAGCGCTACAAATAGCTGGGCCACGGCTGGGCAGGGGACAGCTCGAGTAGCTCACTTCTGGGCGACACGCTGCTGGTGAGGAGAGCGCTAGGCTGCGGAGTAGAGAGTAGAGACATAGAGGAGATAGGGAGTGGCGGAGGCCATACCTGCAGTCGGCGAGTTTACCTGGCGCCATAGCTGGGCTCCACACGGTACCTGCACACGACGACGGACACAGTCAGTACGGTGGCAGCGACCTGCAGGTGAGATAGCGAGGAGGACTTCATCTCTTCTCTCTCCTCTCTCTCTCTCTCTCTCTCTCTCTCTCTCTCTCCTCCCTCCTTCCTCCTTTTTCTCATCTTCTTCTTCGAATCTGAGAGTGTGAGAGGTTATCAGTAGGGGTTCAGGCAGAGGTTACACGGGGCGCCTTGCCCAGGATCTGATTCGACATTTCTGGGACAGACATTGATTGGACACTCAGCAAGGGACTATTTTTTGGGACTTCGCTATTGCGATCTTGGTCTACTCCCTCGCCTCCTTCCTCCTCGTCTCGTCCCTCCCCCATCTCTCATCCGTGGTATCTCCCCATGTATGTGTGCGAAGGAGGGACCTTTCTTCCCTGATTGCAGTCCCTCCTCCCTCTCTCTCATGTGTGATGTGTGATG